TGCTGCTTTAAATGCGTCGGTTCAACAGGGAGCAGCCATTCAAATCATTGACGTCTCATTGAATCATTCAACATATTTCCAGCTTAAATAATTACTTTGAAAGACGGTCAAAGTGAAATGAAAAAAATCTGGAAATGCGAAGAGCAAATGTAAGAAAGCATGCATGCTAGTTTTTAGAAAGACGTGTCGCGGTTGACGTAATATTGCTTAGAAGTTGGATTGCACTACAAATAATTTTGTAGCAGTGCTCATTTGTTTGAGGTTTGCCACATTGCCAATCGTCACGTTCAATAATAATATGCTTTCGATGAGTGAAGCGAGCGAAAGAAAGTATATTGCAGATAATGTATATTATATAATAATAGTATAATGTAAAATAGTATAATAGTATAATATATATTCGCAGAGTGTTTATATTCCGCTGCAAAAAATATTATTGTATCAAGTTTGATGGTCTAGACGAGTCTCAAAACCGATAGCGTTTGATACTTATTTCGGTCAGTGCAGCAAAGAATTTATGTGCTCTGCTATTTTAGTGCACGAATTAGAAGTTATTCGTTACCTTCATTTCATAATTTTGAAATTTATAAGGTTTTACTTTTTTACGCTTCTTTAAATCCAAACTGACTCTAGACCCTTGTGCATCCGGATATTATCAAAAATGCCACCCGTGGTTTTACAAGACTATTCCGCGCGATTCACTTTTCGCTTACAGGTAAATCGTCCTTCTTTAAATAAATCAGAGAAAATTTATGAAAAAACTTGAATAATCAACTAAATTAATCAAATTTTTTTCTCCGAAAAAGTCCGATCTGAAACTGGAAAGTTCGCCCGATGGAAAAGCCAAACGGAAGCCAGGAAACTCCGCGGTCTTGTTCACCATGACCGAAGAAGTTGGTGCTTTGGCAAAAGCTTTGAAAATTCTCAACGTGAGTAAAATTTTGTCTCTTCAAATTGGAAATTTGTCACAGAACATGAAAAAAATTTAACATCGCATACACTTTTGCTTGAGGAAACTCATCCTATATGTTCTCATCAGGAGAGTCAGCAACATATCGTCATGAACTCGACCTAATTATTTTGCACGTCTGATTATTTTTTCTGTATGGATCGTTTTCTTCCAAGAAACATAAATTCATTTTTTCTGTGAACAAATCCCCCGGATTCCGTTTGAGAAGTAATCGATAAATGGTGGATCACGGATATCTCTCTTATTTTAAATTGGATAAAACCAGCCACGAAAAAGCTTCCTCTCGACCTCGAAAAAGATATCTTACATTATATATTTTTATAATCATTATTATAAGAACGGGGACATTGCATCATGCAATCGACCACAGCCTGAAGTAACACTTCGAGGCTGACGCAATTGCGAAGCTTTCTCGAGCAACCTTTTCTGTTCAATGCATCCGACTCACGTCCTTCATAAATATGAGATGAAAAAATATTCTTACCAAATTTTTGCGACGTAAAATCGCGTGTACGAACCACTCGACTCTGAAATTACTGCATGAGTAATGGTGTGAGTAAATGCCAAAAAAAAACAGGAGCAGAAAGTGAACTTGAAGCACATCGAGTCGCGGCCTTCGAAACGCCGCCCCGAGGATTCTTACGACTTCATGATCGAGTGCGATCACACCGAGGGCAATGTGGAGCAAGCTATCAAGGATCTGAAGGAAATCAGTCACCATGTCCAATACATCACCGAGGACGAGGAAAAAACTGACTCGGGTAATTTCCATTTCCTTACAGGATTTCGAAATGCAACGCAGAGATTACCCGACTATAATTAAAGTTAATACTGTATAACCAGGAGCAATCACAAGAGAACACTTCGTCTACACCGCTTTGAAATCTTCGAAAAAACTTTGTACTCGAAAACTGTGAAATATTTCTTCAAGTACTTCGGCGGTCTTTTAAGAAAATAAAGGTATAGTACTGTTACTGTACGATATTCACCGTAGCATTTAAGAATGGAGACAATTCATCATCAAAAACCTAACGACCCATTTTCAGGGTTCTCTCGTCATCTATGATCTACTGAACTTTTACGAAGATTAAAAATACAGTGAAGCGAAAACCCAAAAACTTGATTTATTCTAGCCGAAATTGAAAGTTGTAATTTTTTCGAACGCATTATGGCTTTCCATCTGAAGTACGTTATTACAGTCAACACGGTATTGCTTTCATTTGAAGCATGGAACACTGATAAGTGCTACGGACATACATATTCAAGGTTTGAAAATAGGAGCTCATTTTCCAAAAAGTACACTTTCACGTCTATTAAATTTTCTGAAGAGTACGATCTCATTATTCCTATATAGAACAATAACTCGTCAAATTTACTGGAAATTAAAAGCCATTGAAGAGGATCCTCATTGTCATCAATCGAAAAATGCATTTGAATGTTTTCTATAAATACCAAACGTACTTTTTCCGCTAATAGTAAATAATTCATTAATTTTTATGTCTTCGTCAACAAAAGTTTGAATTGCTCGAAATCAAGGCATGTATATTTATTTAGAAGGTGGAAGCAATGTCCTAATTTCCTGAAAACCTCTTGTTGGCAAGAAATGTATCTATCAAGCCAAGGACTTTATTTACTTTCATACATGGTTTCAACGTGGAGATAAAATCAGCCGAACCAAGGAACTTTAGTCGGGATGATAAACAATTGTTGGATACTTTGCCCATTATTTTTTATTTGAAATAAAACAGAGACGTTCTTGAATTTTTTCAGATGCAGTTCCATGGTTTCCCGAAAAAATCATGGATTTGGACAGATTCTCCAACCGAATCTTGTCATACGGAGCAGAATTGGAATCGGACCACCCGGGATTCACGGATCCGATTTATTTGTACAAGACTCACGCTTGCAAGGAATTCAATTATGTTTTCCCGCTCTTGATCGAGAATTGTGGCTACAGGGAGGATAATATCCCACAACTTCAGGGAGTTTCGGATTTCCTGAAAAGTAAGTTATACTAATATCACTTCACAGATTCGTCTTCTCTCGAAAATCTTATTTCTATTTGTTTAATGTGCCATCGTTGAAGAAGAATTTTTTTTTTTCCTATAAACTTTCTCTTTAACCCCTGAAAAATCTGATCTTTTGATTTATTTATTAGGACTGCTTATCGGTGTGAATTGAATTTTATTATATTTTTCGAAAGCCACGCTGTATGCGTAGTGGTTAATTAGTGGTAGGTCATTTAAGCTCAAGTTATATTCAATCTTATTAGGTCAATTTAATTTCATTCGGTTATACTTCGTCCATCCAGAGGTCAATGATTCAGGTCACGCCATATTCGAATAACCTACCATCGTCGAAGTACAGCCTTTTTCCTAAATAATATATATTCAGCGTCCAATGCAAATAACCCGTGATTTTAGGTGTACCCTGCTTTTTTTTGCATTTCCTTAAGTCTAAGCCTGTGTTTTGATTTGCTTTTCTAAATGCCTGGCTACATTTGGCTCGGTGAGATTCTGTCTGGTTAGATTTTTTCTTTTATCCATTTTTTTCAAGTCAGGTGAATTTTGCGGGGCATTTCAGAAACTAATTTTGATGTGCTGGGTGTAATTGGGAATAAGCACTGTTTTTCGAATGGAATTTTTAAGGGTACCCATTTTTCGGTGTAATTAAAAGTCCAACGTGACCCAAGTGAGACGCAGGCCAACGACCCGAAAACAGTAGGGCTCTAAAAGACCGACCAAACCGGAAGGCTCATAAAGTAAGTTGCGTTATGTAAGCTGTAGGCAGACGACCTTCTTACACACCCGAACCCGACGTTTGTCACGAATTACTGGGACACGTGCCTTTGTTCGCCGATCCCGCGTTTGCCAAATTTTCGCAAGAACTTGGATTGGCGTCCCTCGGTGCTCCGGACGAAGACGTCGAAAAGCTTGCGACGGTATCTATCTATGGAGACAATTTGGACATACTTCGCTNGGACACGTGCCTTTGTTCGCCGATCCCGCGTTTGCCAAATTTTCGCAAGAACTTGGATTGGCGTCCCTCGGTGCTCCGGACGAAGACGTCGAAAAGCTTGCGACGGTATCTATCTATGGAGACAATTTGGACATACTTCGCTCTAACACAGTGGAATCTTTTCAATGTTTTTCCTCGAATACTTGCCTAGAAGATTAGCATATACAGTACAGCAACCCTTGCGATGATTCATTATCCTCAAGAACGAAAGTTTATAATCAGTACAGTATAGTATATACAAAATAATTAATTATTGAGAACATTTTGCGTTTATAACCAGCAGTGAGCAGCTGTCGCATGAAAGTGAGATTGATTTTCACAGAAGAAAGGATAGGTTTACTTTTTTCTGATAGCACGTGATCATCAATCTTCCCATCAGCAGCACTGTGCATATCGAATAGCAATGTAGCTTAGAATATTTATTTGTGAAGTGAAAATATATTATTGCCTTGTTTTCAAAACGTGACTGCTGTATTTTCCAAATGCAGTTACTGTACATGAAACCGAAGAGTTTAGCGGCTTCAGACGTGCTTGCGCATTATCGATTACGCTGCGTCACCTGCGTCATGAAGAAGCTACTGCAGTGTTTCATTGTTAAACTAGATGTCGCGTCTAAAATATTTCCCGGCTGCGCTTGGCGATTTTCGCTCCTCAGTCGCCTGTATACGATTTGTTTCCTGAAAAAGATGCGCAGTCATGTCATCCTGCCTGCTTGGAATCTTCTGTTTTTCGTAAATTGTAGTTTTCCAATTACTGTACCTTATTTTATGTATAACTTCGCTTCCAGTGCTACTGGTTCACAATCGAGTTCGGGCTTTGCCGAGAAGCGGATGGAGTGAGGGCATACGGCGCCGGGCTGCTGTCGAGCTTCGAAGAGCTGCAGTACTGCTTGTCAGACAAGCCGCAGAAGCTGCCGTTTGACCCGTTCAAAACAGGCGTTCAGGAATATCCGATTACCGAGATGCAACCTATTTACTTTATATCCGAAAGCTTCGACGACGCCCAAGACAAACTGAGGCAAGGCTCTCGTTATCTTTCCAAAATTAAAACATGTCGTTTTCCTTCCTTGTATTCTAATGACTACTGAAACACTTGACGAATGTTAAACCCACCGACAAATGTTTCAAATCGAGAATTGTTGTTGAATTGTGATATCTTTACGTTTTTCTCTTCCCGAAATCAACTCCTCTCCGTGAATATTTTGGGGTAAATTTTTGCCACTTCATGGATTGCTCAGACCAAAGCTCGTAAAATGAGGCTTATGTCTCAAACCTCGTGTATAGAACATATATATTGACTATTGAGAATAATTTTATGGATCCTCAATCATTCTAATGCTGAGGAATCATTTGAGCATGACTTGGCAATGAGAAGTCTCCTATTGTTTACAATTGTCTAACAGTCTAACTAAAAAACGAACGATTTCATCAAATGAATAAAAAAAAATTTTCACAACAAAAATCCGTGCAGAAATAATTCCACAGTTCTTATCACATCATCCAGGGTTTCGCAAAATCGATTTTATCTGAGTTGGTGAAGAAACTATAACATAACCCGATTCTTCTTGCGACGATTTTTCTTTCGTCCAAGAATAAGAGCTTCTGTAGTTTCGTTATAATGATATTTTCTGCCTAATGAATTAATTTTTGTTCTTCTTTATTCATTTTTACTTTCTGTCCTTTTTTTGAGGATGTCAGTAATGGGACAAAGAATGCGATACAGGAGTAATATCCTTTAGAAGCGTACTTGTACGAGATTTAGGACAGAATTTACAACCTTGTCTGAGTCTCAACACTTGATTCCAAATTTTATTGAGAAGACATTTTTAGTTTCTATTTTTTGGGTGAATGAATCGCGTAAATTTCCCTGCGGGAATCGGAATGTGATCAGACAACATCAAATCTAGCGTGGGATTCATCTTTCCGAAAGAAACCGAGCGTGTTTCTTTCATTGTCAAAATTAGCTTCCTTCTCCGTCGGCTAATGACTTCTACGGGTACCTCTTCAGAGCCTTGAAAAATCCGAACTTACTTTTACGAACATCTGACGTTAAACAGAACAAAGTTTGATCTCTTACTTATCCCAACAGGAAATACGCAACGACAATTCAGAGACCGTTTATGGTTCATTATGACCCTTACACGGAAAGCGTCCAGATCCTCAACTCCAAGAACCAGATCGAGAATCTGATCCGAAACATCAGCTACGACGTGAACCAGTTGCTCATGGCGGTGTCGAAAATGTGAAGCAAGTTTCTTCCATGGGACGAACTTGTTCCAATTTTCTTCGTCACATCAACGGAAGGGATCAATAATGGAAGAAATACCTTCATATCATACGTCCAGCACGAATTCTATTCGGAATGACGTTGATGCTTCAGTACAGAGGAAAACGTCGATTATCCGCAATTATTAGCCGTCTGTCTATTCCGGTTGATGGAATGTTACGAATACTGTAATCAAAAATGTATAAATAACTGAGCATGAGAAATCTTTCTTCACAATAACCTGATGTGATATTGTATTACCAAAATTCTAGAAACAATTCGACAATATAAAAGTTTTGAAGCTATACTCAAAGATCAGTTATGTATACTGTATTAATACTGCATTATCACTCTGGTGCATTTAAGATTTTGGGCACGGATAATCGATATGCCTTGATCGAATTTCAGGTGTTGAAGGTGATTTCATTGTGAATATTTCGATTTTTTTGGAAGACTTTAAGTCGATTTGACAAGAGTTTTCTGAAACCGTGTCACGTCATGAGATCGGCGATGACTGACGCTGTCGGGCCGGGCGATTTCGTGGAGATTTTTGCAATATTATTATTTTCTCCCTCGTTTTTACGTGTACAGTATGTGAAAAATATCTGGGTTGCGGCTTCTTCCATTTATTATGTACAACTTTAAATCGAAGAATCTTGTTTGCCCTTCAAGAGTCCTGGTGAATTGCTTGGGAAATGCAGAGAATCTAATTTTTCATCATTGTCGGGATTTTCAATTTTCCGAACCGATTTAAAAAGCATATACGCAATTTTATTTTGGACACAGTCATGCGTTGCGGAAATTGAGCGAATCCGATTTTAAATCATCCTTTGTTGAAGCTTCTGGACGTACATCGAAGAAAGCACAGGAGGTGAAAATTCAAATTTTCGAATGGTCTCAGCAAGGAGAAGATTTTCACCCAAAATGAATAATGCAATTAATTTTTTTCTCGCTCAGCGAAGCATTGCATGACGTACAGTACAATGGTTCCGTTTTTTGATTGTAAGGTTTGAGAATTATCAAAGGAAAAGCACTTGTAGTTTCTTTCACCTGAAATGACTGCCCCGCTTTTTACTCGAACGTGCCGATTTGTGCGAACCGAGGATCCAGCAAACAATGGCAATGCTTATTGTAGCCACAATATTCAGATTGCAGTCATAAAAGGTGAAAGAGAGATGGTTTATAGGCGTGAAAAAGACAATAAGGAGACCACGAACAGCTTTTCTTGGAATATTTTATATTTTTCTATATTTTTCGTGGGTGCTGTAATATTTTTCCAATATCTTGGAAAGTGCGACGGAACCATGCTATTACGTCTTTTTATTGATGCTGCTGTGGTTTGAAAAAGAAACTCTAAAGATTGAATCATTGAAAGATCATGACGTTTTGCTCTGAAAGTTCCTTCGAAAATGAGCAGGTTTGAGGCATACTCAAGCATTTAGAAATAAAAAGTTTGCATTGTACTTGAGTAAAAAGAGTCAAGTACTACAAAAATATCCTATGGTCTGGCCGTATACTTCAAAATTACAACTTCACGCGTAAAAATCTAGAGAACTTTTAATCGTTGCCGGACATGAATAATTGTAATGCAAGGGGGTCTTCGATAGCAAACGAAATTTTTTGCAACACTATGTTTGTTAGCTGGAGTCTTTATAAGCTGAATTATATAAAAATTCAATCCCTTTTTCTGGGAAATTTCAAACTTATGCCTTAAGAAATAGTTACCAGGTTGATTCCTATTTCCCAAAGTACTTCAGCAGGGGCATTTGTTAGCTGAGACCCCATTACATGTTCCACCTCAGAAAAAAAATGCAGGTATATACTCTGACAAATGAGGAACGAAAAATTTCTTCGGAAAAAACACCCTGAAATTCAGCGCGAAATAATAATAATTTTAAAAAAATGTTTGACGGTCGGGAATGGCTGAGGTCAACGGCAGGGGTTTCAAAAAGAACATACCTTAAATCATCCTTTGTTGAAGCTTCTGGACGTACATCGAAGAAAGCACAGGAGGTGAAAATTCAAATTTTCGAATGGTCTCAGCAAGGAGAAGATTTTCACCCAAAATGAATAATGCAATTAATTTTTTCCTCGCTCTGCGAAGCATTGCATGACGTACAGTACAATGGTTCCGTTTTTTGATTGTAAGGTTTGAGAATTATCAAAGGAAAAACACTTGTAGTTTCTTTCACCTGAAATGACTGCCCTGCTTTTTACTCGAACGTGCCGATTTGTGCGAACCGAGGATCCAGCAAACAATGGCAATGCTTATTGTAGCCACAATATTCAAATTGCAGTCATAAAAGGTGAAAGAGAGATGGTTTATAGGCGTGAAAAAGACAATAAGGAGACCACGAACGGTTTTTCTTGGAATATTTTATATTTTTCGTGGGTGCTGTAATATTTTTCCAATACCTTGGAAAGTGCGACGGAACCATGCTATTACGTCTTTTTATTGAGGCTGCTGTGGTTTGAAAAAGAAACTCTAAAGATTGAATCATTGAAAGATCATGACGTTTTGCTCTGAAAGTTCCTTCGAAAATGAGCAGGTTTGAGGCATACTCAAGCATTTAGAAATAAAAAGTTTGCGTTGTACTTGAGTAAAAAGAGTCAAGCACTACAAAAATATCCTATTGTCTGGCCGTATACTTCAAAATTACAACTTCACGCGTAAAAATCTAGAGAACTTTTAATCGTTGCCGGGCATGAATAATTGTAATGCAAGGGGGTCTTCGATAGCAAACGAAATTTTTTGCAACACAATGTTTGTTAGCTGGAGTGTTTGTAAGCTGAATTATATAAAAATTCAATCCCTTTTTCTGGGAAATTTCAAACTTATGCCTTAAGAAATAGTTACCAGATTGATTCCTATTTCCCAAAGTACTTTAGCAGGGGCATTTGTTAGCTGAGACCCCAATACATGTTTCACCTCAGAAAAAAAATGCAGGTATATACTCTGACAAATATCCTTGCTTTTTAAAGAAGCCTTTTTTGTGGGACTTTAAGTCGCGCTTTATTATTATTAAAATTTTTTTACAAACTGCCAGCCCTTACCGACTCCAGTTGCCGTCCCCAAAGTTTTTCTTGTATGGACACCTTAATTTTCTTCCATGGTACAGGTAGAAATCAATGAGGATTTCACGCGTGATTTCTCCCTTAGTGTGCGGTCGGTGACCGGAGGGTGAGAAATTGCGTGAGAAATTCTGCAGAGTTCCTTTTATTCAGATACAGGCGCCTTTTTTTATATAGTTTCATCCTGCCAACTTCCCCCTCGAGCTTCCGATTTGTTTTTGTTCCTTTTTGACCAAGTCTCAGAATAGGCTGCCCTTTTCGAAGGCCGCGTGTGACGTGCGATTTTTCACGGTCTTTGTTGCAGAGGTTTGCGTGCACAGAAGACCTGGTGGAACCCGGTTGAATCCCGCTGCGAACAACCTAAATAAAGGCATAATAATGCTTGGAACCAGGGGCCCGGCAAAGGGCACGGATTAATGTCATCTTTTTGAAAATGAATTGTGCTCGTAGGTCTCGTGAGAGCGTCCCATAATCCGAAAGCTTGATTTCGCTGTTCGGGTATTTGGACGACAAAATGTTGTTCAAACTGCTTTCTCACCGGCCCCAGGTGGCTAAAACCGGAATTATAAACCATCCCCTCCAGATCCATTTGAAAAATACCTTTATCGTACTTTGTTTTTAATGAATCATTTTATCCTCGTATTTCAATAACTGAATGCCAAAATGGCGTATTTTGAGATTTCCACAAATAAAATAACGGCAAAGAAATGTCACGCAGAAATTGTGGAATTCAAAACAAGGATGGAAGCGGCATTGCTCTGATGAACTTGGCAAATTTTCTTGAAAATGTTACAATCTAAAATAAAGTTTTATTGCGGTATCTCAAGTCAACAGATTTTTTTTTTTCTTGGCAAATGCTGTAATGCTAGAAAATTATAGAAAACTGCAGTCTAAAACAAAGTTTGATTGCGGTATCTCAAATCAACAGATACTTTTCTTAGCAAATACTGTAGTGCTGCGATTCCATTCCTTGAAGCAATCAGGAAAGGATAATTTCCTCGCCTGACAAGATGAAAAATTGTCGCGAAAGGGACAGAAGCTGGTTTGATAATGACTGCATCTCCGTTCTCATTATACCTGATTACAAGCCCCCGTATTTACTGGAACCGAATTTTCTTTTTGAATTAATTATGAATCAGAAAAAGCAACTGGCTTAATGAAGCTGATGATCATCAATGCCATTCATCACTAAACTCCAGCCGAGCGTGCATGAGTGACAACAAAGCAGTAACGAAATGTTCCGTCCTCTGTGGTTATTGGCTGTGAATGTTAAGGTAATACAGCTGCATTTATGAAGCTTATTTCGTATTATGATTTGTGTTCTCTTTAACCACCTTTTTTTTGGAGAGTAACCGGCCCAAATTATCGATACTTCCAATGCGTACCACATGCCTGATTTAAAAAAAATTACGATGGAGTCCATGACTGAGCATTTATTTCCTCTGCAATCTTTTGGATTTCAAGGCGCTGAAATAACAAGACTTTCATGTGAAAAAGGGTTATGTCAAAGAAATTTCGTTTACCGAAAATGCAATCGCCCAGACGAGTGCCGATATTTCTTTCCTAAAATACAGCATGTATTTTTCTTCACAATGATTTTCCCTTTTCAAGTGCAATAACAAATCATGATAAACATCAATTGTTGATGACGTGCTTCTAATGACGACATTTTCAGAGACAGTTTTTTTTAAATTGATGAAAGGTTTAAAAAAGACGAGACGAACAATCTTGTTGTATTTAATCGAAGGCGTCAAATGAAACTGCGAAACAGATCTTTTAGTCCCATCTCATCAACTAATATATAAGAATAAAGACAAACGTGCGTAAAGTTGAATAGCAGGTACAATAGCTAATAGAGAAACGTGATCACAGAAATCCGAATTTATATTAAAATCATGGACGGTTGAA